GGCTTGTTTCGAGTAGACTATTCTACAACAAATCTACTTCTATGACAAGTCTTGCCGCAGGCGGATCCCATGTGCAAGACCGGATTTGTGCGACGGAGACGTGACCCTTGGCAGCAGCCATTGAGCCGGGACTGCGAGTTGTGTCATCAGAATTGGAGCTATTGGCAGCTATGCGTGTTGGGGAGTTCCTGAAGGTAGCGTCGAAATGCATTGGCCTGGTCAACGCAGGGCTGCCTATGCTTGACTTATCAAGTGTGACCATGATGAGTTCTCCCTTTTTATCATCTTTTGTTGCAGGGAAAACCTGGTCCATAAGTCTGTGACAGATTTCGACTTTAGACTAGAACGCTCGGCTGCCGACATGCAATGACATTTGTAGGCAGGCTTTGATTCTTCATCGTATATATATATATGTATATATATATATATACACGCATGTGTATGCATTAACGCGCGTTTGCCCTCGCATGCATGTGCATTTGCCCGCGTTTAGGGTCTCCCAAGAAGATGACCTTGTCGTTCTGGGAAGCTGACACGCGTGCGTGCCAAGCGATGCTGAGGCCGGGCGAGACTGGATCGAGTCCCAAAAGGCTGGAGAAGCTGCTAAATGACGGGCGCTATTTTTACCTGATCAGATTTCAGCAGGCAGTGCTTGAAGTGCAGGTTGAGCTTTCTGCCTGAGCAATCCGCATCATGTCCACACCAAACTCGGGATGCAACTTTGAGAAACTCTGACATACGGACATGCGCCTTTTGCAGACGAGTCTTGCCGCAGCTGCGTCCCACGCCGCCAGCATCAAGCGTGATCTGTGCCAAGCGACATAGCAGCCATGGGCCGGAAGGCAACACATAATCAGAGTTGGAGCTACGGCCACTTCGGCTATGGCAACTTCTACGGCAGCGCCTATGGCTGTCACACTTACAGCCCATATGACTTCACAAACTACGAAGGCTGGGGCTGGGGCTGGAGCAATGAGCCACAGCATTACGAGCCGGGATGGGCAAAGAATGCCAAAGGCAGATCCTCCTGGGCTCGGACGCAGGCTACGAAGCCGCCATCCATGGATATCGTCACGGAGTTCATCATGAGCCTCCCCGAGGTGAGAGGTAAGAGCCGCGCAGAAGTTGCGGCGCTGCTCACGCGTGCGGCGTCGAAGATCGACGCCTACGAAGATTAGTTCAACATTCAACGGAGTACAATCATCCAGCCAGGCTTTCAAGCATGCGTGCCCTGGAGCTGGGATAAAAGGTCTCTTGCAGGAATGCCTCTCAGGAGTTCTGGAACTGAGGGTTTGCAAGAAATGCTCCCATCAGAAAACCATTTTGCCGTGCTGGCAGGGCGCGAAGCTGGATGTGGAAGATGCGCGGATGGCTCAGCTGCATCCTGCCGCCGTTGCATTGTCCTGGCCTGCTCCTGAGCTGAGCATGTCTGGCTTGGGGTCTCTTTCTGAAACATCGGATAGTCATCAACTTGGGTGCATGTATAAATGACTCTACATACGCCCTACAGAACTCGTAAATAATCCCCCTATAGTGCCTATACAATATATTCCCTTCTTCCCTCCTAAATCCCAGTACAGGCTCATGTCAGCCTCGCTTCTGACAGGGCCCTCCTGAAGAAATGCAAGGTTGGAGCGCATGAGCTGCGCATTCAACATGATTATGGCTATCAGCTTGCACCGTGAGCAACGAGGGTTCACTGTGCTTTTGATCTTCTTCTGATCCTTTTGCTATTTATGCCGTGCATCTAGGTTTCATGATTTAGAATTTCAAGTCTTGCGAAACACTCCTTATCAGTCCTTGACAGCCTTGACACCTGGAGAGAATCTTTTGCTCCTGCAGAGGCAATGGACCCAGATCAGCTGCACCTGGTCCGGTGGCTAACCGGGACTGGACTTGCAGCATGTGCGTTTGAATCTGAAGTGAGCCCAAGTGCTTTTCCCAGGAGCCTGCTGCACGCTGCCTCCTGCTCCGCCTTAGAAGTTGCTGTCGCAGAATGGTGGGTAGATCTTCAAAGGTCAAATTTCAAACTGAAAGATCCAGGGAACAGCATGAACTGCGACGAGGAGCAACAATAATTGGTGCTGTGTTTTCCGGGCTACAGCAAAGTGCATGACACCGTGGCACCTAAAGACCAACAGGCGAATGCTCAGGTGGTGCTGCTGTACCCCAGTGCAGGCGATCCAAAAGTGTTGGAGGGAGAGGGCGTGGTGTTCTTTGAGCCGTCTGGGCATCTGTGTTGCACACCTTGATCAACTTTTGCATGCAGCTGTGGGAGGATGGTGCAAAATTCTTGAAGCTCCCCAAATCAGTGCCGCGTCGGGTGCCGCATTGGTACTGGGGATGTTCTGAAAGGGCTCAGTATCAGCGTGGCGCGCTGGACAATGACTGTTGTGATGTTAGAGTGTCTGTACCCTTGAAAGGCCAGAACAGTTTCTGAAACTGGCAACTTTCTGTTTCCTAAATGCATATTGTTATTATTGTTCTTACTACTATTACGACGATGAACTATCATCATTAGAATTGTTATTTTCATCAATCATATTATTATCATGATTAATATTCTTACTATTGTTCCTGTTATCATCATGATTATTGTTCATGTTCTTAGTACTATCATTTCATGACTATATAGATTACTTTTTTTATTCCCATTTTCATCCTTATCACGATTCCTGCTATTGTTATTACTACTATTCGTGCTTTTCAGGCTTGATGTAACAGCTTTTCCAACCTCTTTCTGCCGCCGGCGCTCGTTGGTCCAGGGACTCGTCCCCAACATGACGTCAGCAGTATGGTTTCATTCGGCTTTCAGTCTCCCTCTGCCCTGCGTGTGGGGGGAAGCATAGACCAGATCAATACTCCAAAGCTCACAAAGGCCCACTTGGGGCACGCTCTAGATACGTACAGACCTTGCGCGCGCCTTGCGCCCACGAGCCGATCGTAAGCTGAGAGGCATTCCCACCAACTGTAGCTGCCTGAACCCAACCACATACCGTCAGCAGTTCTTCTTAGCTTTTCGCCCAGCAGCTGCTTGCCGCTGGCTCCAAATAGAGGCCGATAGTCAATAGTCTGTGCCTATCTGCAATCCTGCCGATCACTGCAGGGCTGAGCACTGGGTCCAGCCGCTTTACAGCCAGTTTGGATTGGTAGCCCTAATCTGCAATGAACCAGTTCTTTCGAAAGCCGTAGTGGGTTGCATCAGCTTACCATGCAGTTGCAGATCGCGCGTCATACGTGCCTGCAGGCTGACCTCGTATTTCCCTTGCATTGGGAGCTGCTGGAAAGTGGTGGTGCTCAGAGTTTCGAGAAAGCTTGGCAAAGCTGGAGGGTTTGCCCGCCAAACTCATCATTGCATTCTGCATTTTTTGCGCTGCATCAAAGGCCAAGTTTCCCGAATGGGTGCATGGCTGCAGGGAGCTTCACAGCCAGACTGGCTTGATTTGACCTAGGCCACCTCATCGGCTTTATAGAGCAAATTTGAGGGTGACTGTCTCTGAAAGACGCTAGGCGAGAGGCCCTTCTGAATTCAAAGAATAATATACTATAATCTATTCTAACATACTATGATAGGGCTGCTGTCTGGATGTCATGCGTCCTCGGCCAGGTTAGGCTGAGTTGGATGCGCTGGAGGCAGTTGAGCGCACGCTTCCCGTGCCAGCGGCTGTAGATGCCACTATAGGATACTATAGGGATAATGGAAAAGAACATGGAAACTACTATATCATATAGGGTTATTTAGGGGTTATCTCGGCGTGATATTCATCACAGAACAAGATTGGAAGATGTTGACGCACCACCAAAGTTCATTCATGTGTCCAGACACTTTAAAAGACCGACCTTGTGCTTTACTTGCTCCTTCCGTTTTACGCTTCTTTTGACGGGAGTTGTAATTTCGATAGCTGTTGTTACGGGTTGAAGGCTATTGTTTTGCATGTTTTTGGGGTTTAGGTTGTAATAAACCCCAAGGCCGGGTTCAGGGACTGGGACCTGTAGGATCCTCAACAAGAAGAACAAGTAGGCGACTTCAGCCCGCAGCGGGACATGTCAAGTCAGAAACAGCTAAGATCAGGAACCCATATAACCCCTATTAAACCCCCATATTACATATGATCCTTATATTGCCCCCATATAACCCCTATATAGCAATTCTGGATTTGTGACTGGTCCTGCTTTGCTATTGACAGAATTATGCATCGAGAGGCTATGGCTCCACGTAGCATTAGCCCGGGCACTCGGCTGGTAAAGACCTGCACCGTTTTTATCCCGTATCAATAAACTATAATAGAAATACACTACAATACATTATAATGTAGTATGATATAGTATGCTATACTATTAGATACTATACACTACAAAATTGTATAATGTGTGATAATATACTATAATAGATTAGAATATGCTCCAATATACGATGATCTACTGCAATATACTATAACATACACTGTATTGGTGCTGCGTGACGTGAAGTGCTGTGGTGTTGAAGTCCTCATGTGGATATTCTCGAAACTGCCGTTCCCCCGCATGTCCTCGAATGGTAGGGCTCCCTCGCCATTCACTTACTGGTTCTTAGTCAGGAATAAGGGAATATATCATATACCCTATAGAATTTTCCCTTATTCCCTACATATGTAACCCCTACAGAATCCCTGTATACCATATTCCCTTATTCCCGACTAAGAACCAGTCAGGTTTTGGGTCTTGCAGCCCGGGTAGATGCTGGAGGCTGCGGGCCTAGAGGTTAGTGTTGCGAATCTGCTGGCAATGGACACGTGCCAGACTCGCAGTCTCTTTCTGGGGGCCCGTTACTATGGTTTTACTGGGATAATGGAAAAGAAAATGGAAACTAATTACTATCGTATATTTGGGTCATATAGCCTATATGAAGGACAGCCAATATGCACATACCCAGATCCCGCAAGCCATATGTAATTCCCTGTCATTCCCATGCCCTAGACTGTGGTCGGCGACCGCCCAATGAGCTAAGAACATTTTCGAGTATATAGTCCCCCTTAAGTAGACAGAATATTGCTCTGGGTATATTATAGTAAGATCCCCATATATCATATACCCCATATTCTATCTACTTAAAGGGGACTCTAAGGGGGAGGCAATAGGACGTTGATTGTTTCCCCGTTGACACTTTGGAGCTGCTGACTTCCCTCGACGTGCCTTATGCATTCTATGACCGAGGAAGCATCATCCAGAACCTACAGCCCCAATCAACTAAGTTTTCTGGAGTCTCTGTCTGTGCATGTGTATCAACACGGCTGCTAGTACAAGAGTGGGTTGCTGATTTTTGAAAGTGTCGCAGAACAAGTCCCATCCCTTCCATGTCTATAAATCCGGAAACCTTACACACCCCAATCCCTAAACCTTAGACCCTCCACCCCAATCCCCAAATCTAGGACTCTGAGCCCTGAGCCTAAAACCTCATAGGGTGATTGTATCTATCTGTCCATTCCGGAAGCTTCTTTGAGGAAGGCTTTGATCACGGGTTTTGGTGAGTGTGGCAAATGGGTTGTTCATTTTCGGGGTTTAGCGTTTTGGGGTTTGGAGTTAGGGCTTAGCGGAAACCACAGTGGGTAGTTGCTGTTTCATTGTCCATTCTCTTTTTCATTTGATTTTCCATTGGTAGGGGTAATCTCCCCTGATTTAAGGAACGTTCTTTTGTAATTGATTCTCCATCGTTAGGGAAGTAATCCTCGTCTAGCTCCTGCAAAACACTCATATGACTCATATGGGTTCTAGTTGAGCAACATTTTACATGTTTATGTACACCTGGGCAATAGACTAAACATGATCATGTTCGATAATATTTCAACAAGACCCCAACTCATATTGCGGCAAGACCAGGTCTGCGCGGCACACAGCACCTTCCGAGGCCGTTGTTTGGACAGCTTCATGCTGTCAGTCCTGGGGGTTTTAAAATTTATGAGCTATAACCTAAACTCCTTGAAGGGGGTTATATAGGGTATCATATAGGGGAGTGTTATAGGGGTCATTAAGGAGGATCCTAGGAGTTTAGATTATAGCTCATATATAGGGCATGGGGTATAGGTTCAGGGGTTTAGGGTGGGGTTTACGGTTAAGGGTTTTGGCTTTGGGTTTTAGGGTTAGGATTACTACCTGATAATGGAGAATAAAATGGACAAGAAAAGTCTGCTGTTCATGCCCT